ATTATTAAGTATTTTTATTTAATTTTCTCATTTGGTTTATGAAGCCACAGGCCTGGTAAATTATATTGCTATTTTATTAATGATGATTATTTTGCAACTTTAAGTTATAGCACAAACTTGAATTCGCAATTCGCATAGGGCTCCCCTATGTGGTGGCAAAGAATGGGGGAATGCTTTGCTCGTTCCTGAAAAAGTTGCCCCTATCAGTAGCAGCTTTCACACTCTGGCCAATCTTTCAAAATTATTTTTGAAATAATTATAACCCCATGAAGATCTTGCTTCTTCATAGCTCGAGCAATTACCTCTGTTCACTCCCAAATCAAGGTCTCTATAATTCAGATAAGCTGCCCTCGGATTCTTCGAAACGTATGGTGCCATATATTCGTACAACCTTCTCATCCACTCCACATGTTCATCTGTCTCTTCGTTGGAATCCCATATATGATTCCATTCCTATGTGGAAATGGAGTTTCTGAGTCTGAAATCTCACTCATTCTTCCTCCATAGGGTGAGAATATCAATACTGGTGAATTTTGATTCTCCTCCAGAAGTATGTTCCCTAATCCTCGTATTCCAAACGTAGGAATTGGTTCTGTTACATAGTCAGATTTTGCTTTGAAGCTTCGAAATGTTTGGTTTCTCTGAAGCAACACATCCATGGAGGTGTTCACTGAGTATCCTGCAAAATAAACTACAGATTGAATCCAACTCATCTGCATGCAATTATTTCTCTGCAGACTCAGTTCTGGAAAAGTGTTGTTCATCAAAATCGTTACATTATCAGCTTCTCCGAGGTATAATCCTGAGAAAGATGACGTTACAGTTTTTGAACATGAACCATTCACCATCACATTCCCAACTCCCATAACTGCATGGAGAAACATCTCTTTAGGGAGTTTGTCTGCAACATTTTGCCATTTTTGGAATAGTGCTGGAACATCACTGTCTTGTAAAGTTCTTGAAATCTCGAAGATTGTTACAGTTGGAGGGACACGTACTATGTTAACCTTCCATGCAGTGATAACACCAAAGCTCGATCCTCCTCCTCCTCGTATTGCCCAAAATAGATCTTCCCCCATTAGGGTTCGATTCAGTATCGAGCCATTAGAATCCACCATTATAGCATCGATAACGTTGTCAGCTGCTAAGCCATATTTTCTGAAAATTGTACCAAACCCACCACCACTGATATGTCCTCCTACACCTACTGTAGGGCAGCTTCCTGCAGGGAAGCCATGGACGTTACTTGAGCTGGCAATTGCACGATACAATTCTCCAAGTGTGGCTCCGGCTTCCACCCAAGCAGTTTCATCTTCGAGGTTTATGGTTATGGATCTAACGTTGGCAAGATCGATTATGATGAAAGGTTGGTTTTGGTCAGAGGTGTAAGAGAGACCTTCATAGTCATGGCCACCACTTCGGACTCTAACTTGGAGACCCTGTTGCTTCGAGCACAGTACAGCTGACTGGATGTGAACGACGTCGTTTGGAGTTATAATGAGTTTGGGCTTTGGGGTTGAAGTGTTTGAGAATCTGAGATTTCTTATGGATGATTGAAGAAGAGGTTGGTATGAAGTGTCGTTCTGAGTGAAAACAAGGTGTGAAGATGAATTAGGGTTTCCCAAATTTGCTGAAAAGCATTGAAAGAAAGCATCTTCAAGACTAAGAGAGAGAGACAGAAGAGGAAAGATCAAGATGATGACGATGAATAGAGGAAGAAGATGAAGGAGAAGAAGCTTATGATGTTTCATGGCCACGTTGATGATTATTTGAGTGGGTTGAGATCGAAGAATAAGAAAGATGAAGTGATATTTATAAAATAGATTAATACACAGCCATACTGAGTAAAGACAAGAAGAATATGTGAGTGATATGGAAATTGTGAGAATCTCTAAGTGCAGAAAGAAGATTCTTTATAAGTTATTACGTCTTCTCATTGAGTGCATCACCCACTTCTCTATATTTATATTTTCTGAGACAAGCACGGAACCGACCTTTTTGTTTTTTCGGTTTGTGGCAACGACCTTGTGAGTTGAAATCACACATATCACTTAGTTATATTTATTTTGAAAACACACGCGCACCCGAATCGCACTTCAAATTCAAATAAAAACTAAAAAGAATACGTATGTAATTTTAAAAAAATGATATCATTGGCTCGATTTTTTATTTGGGTTAAAGTGTACATTTATGTTTGAAGTTTTTATTCAGGAGCACTGGGTACCTAAAAGTTTTTTTAAGATGCAAATTTATCTCAAAAATTTAAAATCATAGTAATTTTACTCCATACTATTAAAAGTATTAATAGTTAATGTTATTATTTTAATAGTTAACGTTAGTTTTTTTTAACGGTAGGAGAAATATTACCATGATTTTAAATTTTGAAGGAAAATTTGCATAAACAAATTCTGAGTACCTAATACTCCTGATTGTAAACTTTCGAAACAAATTTGCACCTTAACTATCTTTACTTTTAGTTGTAAAAAGATATTTATGTAAATTTCAAAAAAAAAAAACAAAGAAATATGGTGTAATTTAACAAAATGGCAAAGCTGTATCCAGCACTCTGAAAAATTCACACTAAGATATTTTGCCCTCAACATATTAAAAGTGGAGCAATTCTACTTGTCACTAACATGTCAACAAACGGACGTTGTCCTCCCTCAACAGATCAGCTTTTAATATTAATGAAATAATGACGCGTAAATTCACTAGAACGCCACCTGTGTTTTTTTTCCTCTCAAAAAAAGGCTCCATTCATATGAGTTAATCTATTGGTACTCGACTGGGGTTCAGATTTCTTCTTTCTTCTGCGGAGATCGCGACTCAAATCACCAATAGAATCAACAATTTTTTCCCAATACAATCAGCACACCCTTCGTGCTCTAACTTTCATGCTTAAGGCTCTGTAAATATCTCTATATTACACAATATATTGAATATTAGCTTAGTTTAATCCTCACTGTTTCGTGCTCTAACTTTCGTGCTTAAGGCTATGTAAAGCTACAGTACTGTCATACACCTGCAGAAGCTTTTTTAAATGCGATCTCCAATCTTCTGTGAGCTGGCAAAAAATAAATGATCTTTCAGAAATATCAATATTACCTGGAATTTTGTATAACTTCCAGTCCTTAATATAAGAGTTAGTTTTATTTTCAATTTGATCCTAAATATAAAATCTTAATACACTTTGTCTTTCTCATATTTATCCATTTTTTAAGATAATTTTTATAGCAGGTGCACAAATTAAAGGTTTTATCACATGATAGTTCTAGTTAATGTACATGTGGTTAACAAGGGTATTTTAATATACATGACTAGTAAAGATATTTTAGGAAAGACAACACTTATTTATTATACATAACTAACGTAACTAATTATTTTAATTTGCTTAAATTAGCCAACTAGTATTACAGTTGCTTTATCCCTCACTGAACGACCGTTCTAAATGGCTGTGGTGTGCCCAAAACGCGTCATCTCGATCTGTGCACTTTATGATGGAAGGCTGTTGAAGATGACATTCATTGCTCCATCGAAGACTCAGGTGATGTTCAGTTGCGCACCACCATTTTTGCCGGCAAGTTCTGCCCAGTAGCTATCTTCTGAGAAGAAAGAAGAAACCTTAGGCCCAGTCGAAGACCCGTATGAATGGAAGCTTTAAAAAAACACAGGTAGCGTTTTAATGGATACGTGTCATTATTTGATTAATATTAAAAGCTGATCTGTTGAGGAGATCAAATGTCTGTTTGTTAATTTGTTAGTGAGCATATAATTGCTCCATATTGAGGACGCAATTTCACCATTTAATTCTAGGTGCGCCTTTACCTTTAAAAAATTCAAAGAGTGCTTATAACTTATTTTATATTTTTAATAAGTATATAATTTCTGAAAAAAAATCATAAAATTTTTTCATAGATATTACAGAGTCCAAGAAATGAGATTTGTAATAATATGAATTAGATATTTCTTACAGATTTTTAGTAACAAGCTCCAACCTCTATTTATTACGTTTTTCAGATGGTATCTTCAGTCGTTGATTTTTTTTTTTTGAGACGAAAGTTTTGGTAGTTTTAATTAGTATTTAATATATTTTTTTTCGTATGCCCCTAACTAATAAGGGTAATGAGAGATTAAAAATTAATATGATACTGGAGTTTAGTGCAGTTAATAAGAATAATATTAATTCTGACAAAAAAATAAGAATAATATTAGGAATATCACTTAAATTTTATGATAAGTCTTTAATTATTTTTATTGGTAGGTGTAAATTAGTTAGAAGCGTTTTACATTATGTTGGCAAATGAAAAAAAAAAAAAGGAAACATTTTGCATTATGCACCAAAGAGAGTACTGTATATGTGGCCAAAAAAAAAATCTCTTTTTTACTAAAATGTATTTTATTAACACAAACATTATTCAACAATATTTTCTATATATATTTAATTTTTTCAAATTTTTAAGTTTCAATTTGAAATGGGTATTATTGTATTGTAAAGAATATTTTTGACAATATTAAAAACTGGGCTAAAACGCAATTAAGAAAATAAAGAAGATCTGTATGTAAATAAATAGATGAAAAACTGAGTGCATAGGTGGATGGATGATAGTGAAGCAATAAATATTGTAGATTTCAAAGATCAAAACCTTGTAAATAGCACAAAGACAAGCATGCGTGTTTCTCTCAGTATTTGTGACACACAAGCTTACACACTAGGCGGGCTTCCTCTGGTGAGTTTGACCGGCGGCGCCACCACCAGAATGGCGGAGGAAAAAGTCTACCCTCTCACCCTCCTACCACTTGTCACCCTCTTCACTCTCTCATCCACAAATCAATCCAATCACTTACCTCTCCACTAAAAACTAGGACCAGCCTCCCCCATTTTTTTCTATATTCAGCCCCTCACACAACACAACTTCGATCACTACTTCACATTCACACCCACACACACCCACCGTCCATCTTCATTTTAATTTTCTTCTTCTGGGTCTCCTTTTAATTGTATGGCTTTCATGGTCGGCGATCGGCAATCCAACTTTAAGCACTTCTGCAAAATCTGCAAGAAAGGGTTTGGCTGTGGCAGAGCTCTCGGAGGCCACATGAGGGCTCACGGCATCGGAGACGAAGGCGGCGGCATGGACGACGATGACGACCCGGCCAGCGACTGGGAAGACAGCAACAAGCTTGGTGGAGATTCTAATGTTTCTCCCTCCAACAAACGAATGTACGCCTTGAGGACGAACCCTAATCGGTTCAAGAGTGTTAGGATTTGTGAGAATTGTCGTAAAGAGTTCTTCTGTTGGAAATCCTTCCTTGAACATGGTAAATGCACTTCCGACGACCCCGATGAGTCGTTCGTCTCGTCGCCGGGCTCGGACGGCGACGATATGTCAGGTCGGAGAGGTTGTGGTTGGTCTAAGAGGAAGAGGTCTTTTCGAGCCAAAGTGGGAAGCTTCAATAATAACCCTAATTATTCACCATCCAATGAAGACGAAGACCTCGCTAACTGTTTAATGATGCTGTCAAACGCCGCCGTGGATCCTCTCGATGAATCTTCTGCGTTCGCGAGCAAAGACGAAGATAGAAGAAACCCTAATCTGAGCTTCATGGCTCCAATGTCCCAAATCTCTTCAGATCATAACAAAGCCAAAGAGGGAGGCGGCAATAATATTAATCATAAGGGTTTGTTTGAATGCAAAGCATGCAAGAAAGTGTTCAATTCGCATCAAGCATTGGGTGGTCACAGAGCCAGCCACAAGAAAGTCAAAGGTTGCTTCGCGGCTCGGCTAGACAACCTCGACGACTCCGGCACCGGCGCTGACGATGACGTCATCACCCATGAAGACCAACTCTTCCCGACCAACAAATCCAACAACAATTCAGCCCTTCACTTCGATCAAGGGTCCAACAATAATAACGCCTCATCAATGGCGTCGTCCTCTAAGAGGAAATCCAAAGTCCATGAATGCTCCATATGCCACCGCGTTTTCTCATCTGGACAAGCACTGGGAGGACACAAGAGGTGTCATTGGATTACATCAAACGCACCAGACACCTCGGCGCTGGCTAGATTTCAGCAATTTCAAGAACAAATAGAACAACACATGACCAATAATAATCAAGTTATGGCAAAGTTTGACGACTCTGATCAGCCAATTGATCTCAAGCTCGATCTCAACCTCCCAGCTCCGTCGCGCAATGTCTCAACGGAAATCTACTTACAGTCATGGGTCGGTGGTGGCAGTGGAGGAGTGGTGAAAGAACATAAAGATGACAAAAGTCAAAGTCTTCATCGTCGTCAAGAAATGGACAATGAGAATAATAATGATGAAGAATGCAAGAACAGTAACAAAAACCTTAACGCTAGCAGTGGTTCAACCATGCCAAACGTGGAAGATGACGAAGCTGAGAGTAAGGTGAAGTTAGCGAAACTAAGTGAACTAAAGGACATGAACGTAGGAGGGAGTTCCTCGCCATGGTTACAGGTGGGAATCGGTTCCAGTACAACTACTACTGATGTCGGAACTGACCCATAATTCACATATAGCTTTTGGCAAAACCATATCATTGTTGTGGTTTTCTCTTTCATTTGTTTGTTTGTTTCCCTTAAACATGGAAAAACAACAGAGAAGAGGTAAATAGTTATAGGGAATACAGTTACTACACATACATGCTCGTCCCGATTCAATGTGTTAATCATATAAAAATTCAGAGTGTTTTTTCCTTTCTTTAATTTGTACATTTTTGTGATCTAAAGTTAATTACGTTTTATTTGTTTTTACCACTTAGTGTCGTTGTTATACTCTGTTCATTTAATTTCTCCTATAAGATATATACCTTCTATAATCTGTCTTGACTGGTATTATAGGAATCTCTCATGAATTAAATAAGGACAACATATCACTTTTATTACATGTGTTATGGAAATCTCTCATGTCTTACCGTTCATTCTAACAATTTGAAAATTTCAAGCGACTTTAGAATGAGAGGTTTCCTTGTTGGAGCATTTCAAATCCAATATGATTATTGTGGTTATGATTATCTTAATCTTGGCTTTCACTTTAAGCTTTCAAATCTTATTAAGCTTTTGAAAAAAGAGCTCTTAACATAGTTATTTGGATATACTACTACTTAAGCTTGTGTTAGCACTTTCTGATTTCTGATTCAGAAACAGGACTGTTGTCCCTCCGGTGATTTTTACCTTTTTCGTTAACAGTCCATTGGCTATATTGATTTTGATTCAAAAAACACTCACTCGATATCTTCTATTTGTTTGTAACGAGTAGGATATAACACTAACAATAACAAGTCATATCACTTATATGAATCACAGTGTTATTGTAGTTGATCAACAATTAAATCTTTAAAAAAATTGTTAGTCAAAAAGTATTGTTCAATAATTTCATTTCATTGAGCGTTTTATTTAGCCTTCCTTTATCCTTTTCAGATGGCTCATACATCTACCTTTCTCATGGCGCCATCAACAATCTTATTTGTACATGTCCATAACTCTTTCCTCTATAAGATCATTATGTATCTTATTTATTAATTCTGATATGTTCACATATCTATTTCATCACTTCATCTGAATTACCAAACATATCCTTATCTCAGTTCTTAACTGTATCTGGAGACGCGTAAAAAGGAAGGAAATTCTATAATTGGGATCATTTAAATTTGGTTGAAATAGTTTAGATTTCATCTTTTGTTTTTTTAAAAATTTTTTTTGATGAAAATCATTATTGTTTATTAAAAAAGTATTTATTGAAAAATTGTATTTATTCTATGTCATATTTTTTTTAAAAAAATAACAACATTTTTTGCCCGAAAAATAAATAATAACATTTGAGTCATCCAATTAATTTTAGACAATTCAAATGGGACGTCCAAATTTTGCATAGATTAGAATAGTTAAGTTAGCAATTGAGGTGTTCAGTGACTGCGACACCGACGGCACAGGAAAATCGATAGTTCTTATGGGCTTTGCGGTTTCTGCGTGCTGCAAATTGCTTCTCAATATGTTTTACTATTTAATTTAATATCCGATGATATTTGGTGAATTTTGAATATTATTATACTCACTAAAAATACCTTTAATTTCATCATGGCATGATTTTTTTTATCAATATAATAATATATAAATCTTCAATTTTATTTAAAAGGAATTTAGTTTTTCCCCACTTTATTCCACTACAATTGATAGTACAACTTAGTTTCTCAAGGAAAAAATATGTTCTTAGGCCTTGTTTGCTCCAGCACTTTAAAATTCCTATAAGAATAGCTTTGCCATCGTAATCATCATTTCTTAAAAATTAGCAATTTAGATTCATGACTTTATACTATCGATCCTTATTTCCACCTCTCTTTTTATTTGTTACCCTTCTCTTACAAAGTTTTTTTCTTTATAACTATTTGGGCCATCCGGTTTTTGGTGGTTTTTTTAGATCCTGTTATTAAATATATGAACAACTGATTCAGATCGAGACTGTATGACCAAGATGCCTTTTCCTAGAGGTTTTTTCTAACAAGGTGGGATTCAAACACATTTCGCCCATTTTGTGATCTGTTTCATCGCTAGATCAAATACCTTTGAGTTATAAAGATCTATTTATGGTCATTATCATTTTAGTCCATTTGATTTTTTTTTTCCATCACCAATTCCATCCCATTTCATTCATATAATTTCCAACAGCGAGACAGACTCTTAGTTAGTACCTCCTAGTATTCCATTTGAATAAAATTCAATTCTAACTATTTGTTTATTTTGATTTTTTGGGGGCTATAGGTAAACATCTATTTGTTATTTATGGTGGCAATGTCATGTGATAGTGAATGTTGAGCTTTAACAAAAATATAAAGTTGAGATAACCAAGACTAAAATGTTAAGATGAATGTTTAATGATTAAAAAAAAAAAGAAGTAATAAACATATGCTAGTGGAATTGGTATGATATCCATTTAAAAAAATGATAGAACATTGTTTAAAATAATTCAGACATGTACAAAAAAAACATGTCATTAAGGGTATTAGTGATGATGATAGAATAAAAAATTGAATCCTATGAAAAAAAAAATAAGGTACTAAAAATCAGACTGATCATTAAACCAGTTAAAATAGTAATTTAAAGGTTAGTGGTTGAACCAAAGTCAAACAGATCATAATTAAAATATATAGAAATATTTGTGTTTAACTCTACAAAATAATTTTTAAGCAGAAATATTAATTAAATGACCATATCAAGTATTATTTCTTGAGCATTGTAACGTTATCACTTCAAATGGAGCAACGTGAAAGGCTTTTCTTTTTTTGGGAAGGGAAAACTTTTTAATTTCATTGAAATTCTTGTAGGCATGCCTTTTCAAATTTTCAGTTTTCACTTTAGTCTGCCGACACTTCACTCTCACCCTCTTTTCACGTTTTCATCCTCTCTCTCTCTTCGTTTTCTCAAGCCTTCTTCTCCGTCACTCATAAATCTTCAAAAGCCACTTGAAGATTGAAGGTTGTTGTGCCTGCAAATAGTTGAAACCATCATGATTCGTGAATAGCCGCATCTTCTTGTTGTCTTGCTGAACAGATCGTGCTATTAAAAACTTCAGATGCTTCTTGCTCTTACTTTTTTGTAGTTTATGATCTTATTAAAAGGGAAACCAAAGTGTTAGATTTCTTCATCATCATCATCTTTCTTTCTTCTTCCTCAGTGAGACCTCTTTGTTTCTGATATGATCTTCTTTTTCTCAACTCAATAAGATCGTCCAACCTGGGGGTTAGCTGAGTTTGTCCTGGTTTACCCTAAGTCACACCAAGTCGTTCGGAGTCGGTTTTATGCCCAGCCAGAGTCTCAACCAAACCGGCCAAGTTGGCTAGGTCGCTGGTTTTCGAGCCAGCTCGACCAGTCTGGTCTGGGTTTTGTAAAACGGGTTAGAGAACCACCAGTAAAATTATTGAACAGTATTTTTTTATTGTTTAAAAAGTCATGAAGTTCCATAATTTTGGTTCATGATTTAATAATATTTAAATTATCGAATCTATAAATTATTGAACCCTTGATGAAAGATTCTCGCTACATTCAATTCGCAGAATATTCATGTTTCTTTGTTGTATCTTTTTGGGCCTTTAAAAACTCCTCCACATCATAAAGCTTGCAAGGCTGCCACAATGTTACTTTTCCCGTCCTCTGGATACTGAGCCCTTGAGGAAAGGGTAGCTTCCATTAGTGAGCCTTGAGGTCCCATTTAGTAGAAGGCATTAAAAACAAGAGATAAGAAGAGATAAAAACTGACATTACAATTAAGAAAAATTATTGGAAAAAAATTTAGTATGAGTAATTGTTTGTTACATAAGATTAGATAAACTCTTGAAGGTAAGATAGGAAAATGCCACTTCCTCCCATAGTATTCCTCAATCTCACATACATGATTTGTATAATTTCACATAACAAACAACTCTCATGCTAAACAGTCTTTTAATATATTTCCTCAATCACAATTCCCACCCCTCATTTTTAATGCCTCAAACCAAACAGGACCTTAGTTCTTCATACTTAGCACATCTAAGTCTTTTATATCACTCTCGAGAATTGGATTTAGTGAAAGAAACTACTCTTTTATAATGTGATGAATTAAGAAATAAATTTTTGCTGAAAAATGTACTCACATTTAGTGCTTGACACTATCCACTTCTCTGTTTTTTTTTTTTTTGAAAAAGAATCAAACATGCCCAATGTTGTTTCACTCTATTTTCATAGGTCGTGCATTATTGAGCATTATACATTAAAATATTGAAAAAAATAGACTGAACAAGAAGAAATGAATGTTACATGCATTCTTCCTACTTCTGTTGCTCTTTCAAAAACAAAAAGAGGCTTCTTTTGTGCTGGGATTAAGGACGGAGCGTTTGGCTCAACTCAAACTCAATTCATCATCTGCAATTGCCTTTTCCATATAAATCCCATAAACGGTTAATGGCACATCATATTACAAATAAGAGATGAATTATCATCACAATCAAAAATCCAGTGCCACCCAAATTGAACATTCTAACAGGGTGCTCACTTCGGCGTAAACACAATTCAATACTGATGACTTCTCTTACTGAGGAATTGTTTTGGACTCTGAAAATGGCTGCCAAAGAATGGAAATATTAAGAATGCAATAGATATTGTACATATATACAGTTTCTTCTGCCGTAAAAAGGGAACCCTTTTCCATTGCAGATGCTAAACCAGAAGAGTCATCACAGCATGACTTAACAACGCTGTAACTTACAAATGTTTCGTTCAGTACAAAGCCCCATCTTCCACCGTTCGGGCAGAGATGATTTCAAAAAGGAAAGAAGCTTGCCTTTCCATTTAAAGTTTCTGTATTTAGTAGGTTCTTACATTTGCAATAAAGCATTGTCATAGTGAGCCTTACCTAATTTTAACACATAACAAAGAGTTGTTAACCAGTAATTGCTTAGCCCATGATAGCCATGAGGCCTTTTGATTTCACTTTTGCTGCTAATTCTGCTTTTCGGTGGGCAAGTGTTGGCTCTACTGCATACAAATTAAAAGAGCTTAAAGCCAACCTATCCCGTTCAACCTGTTACAAATTATCCATAATTTACCTGAAAAATGCTGCTAAATTAGTAATTTACTTGACATTACAGACCTTGTCATGTATCAAAGTCAGAAATAAAACAGATGAACAGGTAGGGCCATCAGGCATCCCAAGGTATATCATCTGAGCAGCAGTTAACAACCGATGGAATTTAATTGAATGATATTTCATGGAAAGTAGAGATTAGGAATATCCAACTTCTAGTAAGAAAATGCAGATGCACGGAGTCAGTATCATAGCAAGAACAAGTGACATGAACAAAGGAAGATGCACACTCAGATGCAAGAATTTGTGAAAGCAGACATGTATAAGCCAAGTTCTGGTTCATTTCATCTTATTCTCTGCTAATCAATGAGCTCTCGACATTCTAGATTCCTAAGGATGTTTACAGTCACAATCACAATTGAGAAAGACATCATATGCATTAATAAAATCATTCCATTTACTTCCTAGAGTCCACAAGGTTGACTGTGAACACCTATAGAACATTGCCTTCTGAGAGGGAAATGATTATGGATACTGCATCTCTATTCTCCCTTCACTGTATGTGGAAATATGCAATACAGAAAGATAAAAAGCAGAGCCAACCAAAAAGAGGAAGAAATATGAAGGAGAAATAAGAATAAAAATGAATGAGATTAACTTTTTCTGGAGGCAAAAGTATACACTTCTCCTGTTGCTATACAACTGCAATAGAGAGGATTTGTGCAGGAATAATTCCAATGGAGTTATAGTGTTTTCCAATATTAATAGTGCACTACCCCCAACCTTGTTTTCACTTACATGTGAAACACAAAGGCAGCCTCACATTGCAAATGTGAAAATGGGGGGCGTTTATCCTAAAAACGAAGCTACTTTGACAATTGCAAAGAAAAATAGTTTTGAAAAGCCTAATTTTTGGATTCATTTCAAACTAGGTATAATTTAATGGTAAAGGCATCGATAGTCATTGCTATATACAAGGATGAGTAATTGATTCTTTGATCAAGATGATATGAACATGAACAATAAAATTTATACTTAACATACATACTAGTTTGCCCTGCTGCTGTAAATTTAGATAGGGATTCAAAAAAAAAAAGTCCTTCTAATCAACCATAAGTTCATCTGATCAGCACAAACCCAAAAAGAGACCCCAATCCCAAAAGACTACAACATACAACATACGTGGACTCATAACAGTTCATCAATCATAATATGGGCTATACGTCTTGCAAACATGGCAATAAATCATAGAAGATCTTACAAAGAAATATAATACTACTGAACGGGGCAACTTAAAAAGATCACAGGCCTAATAAAATGGAACCCAAAATGGTTCAGTAGCTAAAAGCAACACTGCAACACACCATAAATCTCACCGACAATCACATAAAAAAACGCCAAAAAATTCAAAAATTGATAATTTACCAAGCACAGAGCAACTGAAATAGGAGTTTCGGCATGTAAGACGATGGCTGTTGAGTCTTCGAATGTTGCATTAGCAGAAGTCCGACCTGAAAAACGACAATTTAAGTTTGAAGACCGACGAGCGAGCTCAGAGCCCACAATCAGATTTTCCAGAGGACACGAAAGCGGTCAACGGTGACGTTTTATTGTGCTTTTGTCATTTTGGATTAAGATAATTGAAATGGGCTCAGCCCTCTGGCTAAAAAGAATTGAGTAGCCCACTCACCAAAAACAAATAAAAGGGAATTAAGTAGCCCACTCGCCACTCCTATGATCTTTTTAATTTTAAAAAAGGATCCAAAGAGAGGAATGATTAAAAGAACGACAAAGTAAGGGAAGGAGTGTTTTTTCTCTCTCTTGGTATCTGTGCCAAACTTTTGCGTGTTCATGGAAGACACAGGTCAACGCAAGAACCCGTCGAACCGGCCACTGGACACATCTGAGACAGATAGGAAAAAGAAGAAGAAACTGGATGAGATAGTAACAGCCATCATGGACGACAACATGGAGGATAAGGAATCAGAAGTAAGTAACTTGGAGAAAAAAGAAACTGCAGAAGAGGGGAGTAGGACACAGGAAATCAGAGAGGTGGGTGCACTGGCAAAAGTAGGGGTAACTCAGAACAAGGAACCAGGACCATCCTACAAGCAATCCTTGATGGGTTTTAACGGAGTGGCGAATGGAAGTACAAGCATGGAAGCAGAAGATTTATTTTTGAATGATGAAGAAATATTCTGGAATATGCCGGAACCCACAGAGGAGATTAGAAAACTTATGAAGTTATATCCGTGGTTCCTGTCTCAGAGGAAGAATACAACGAATGGTGTAAACCATGGAACTTCTCCTTAATAATCACAGTCTTGGGAAGAAGATATAATCTCTATATGTTGAAATCTCATTTGATGCATATGTGGGGTTTCCAGGACTTTGATCTGATTGACTTGCCTAATAACTACTTTGTAGTTAATTTCACAAACAAGGAACTCTGGAAACAACAATATAGGAAGGTACTATATGAGGGGCCATAGATCGTAGCACAGCACTGCATCTTGGTGCACAGTGGACGCCGTATTTCGACCCCTTCAAAAACCAACTAGGTTGCAATGTTACTTGGGTTCGAATACCTCATATACCCATGCATTGCTACAATAGCCATTGCATTGCCAGAGTGGGTGAGAGGATTGGCCGACCATTGTGGGTGGACTTGAACACACTCTCGGATCGGATGGACACTAATGCCAAAGTGGAAAAGGGAAGGTATGCAAGGTTGTGTGTTGAACTTGATCTGCAAAAACAACTTGTGCCCAGACTAACCGTGGCCAACGAAGCTTTCAATGTGGAATATGAAGGTCTCAATCTTATATGCTTTGAATGTGTTCGATATGGCCACCGGAGGGAAGCCTACCCATGGAAAAAAACTACTCAACAAAACTATGCAAGCACTAGTACAGCTGCTCCAACACACCACCCACCGAAGATGCGACCGGAGACGTAAACGGTAAACTCAGGACCAATGGATAATGACACCTTCGGTCCATGGATGTTTACCACTGGATCCTCCAAATCTCGGTTTTCAAGGAACAAATTCCAACAGGAAGTACAAAGTGAGCCTAAACAGGGAGCAAAAGGTGTCAGGAGAGTCGATATACCTGTGGCTAAATCGCGATTTGCAGCGCTGGCTGCGTTGGACAAGGAAAGAATAGATGATAGGGAGTTGAGAAATAGCGTAGAAGTAGTAAGTAGTCAGATTGAGAAGGAGCAGATACTGGTGGACTCAGGGAAAAAGAAATAAGTGACAACTTCTTATACAAAGATGACGGTAGGCACGAAAAATGGAGGGAGCTCCAAAGCACTAAGCAAGCCCAAGTTTCAACAAAAGGCCCTGGGCAAAATACCTGAAAAGCCCAAAGTTAATCCAACAATTGAGGTAGCAGAGCAAGTTATTTCTCAGGAAGCTGAAACCCGACAGGAATGGGCCTTAGTGGGTCAGAATACAAAAGATAGATCCAAGAACCCAAGACAACGAACTCATGTGGTGGTCAGTGGACAAATGGAATGTAGAAGCAAGCCCACTAGTGCAACGTCATTGGGTAATCCCATAAAAACCACCGAAAATAAACAAAGACTAGTAGTGCATCAGTCAAAACAAAATTTTATTACAAATGGACAAGGATAGATAACCTACGTGAAAATGATAGTCCATGATGACCCTGAACCACCAGATCTCGAAGCGAAGAAATGGGAGAGTGATATGGAAAGCATGGAAGATGCAGTCGCAGACTTGGCTGATGAGAGGTCCGAAGAGTTAGAAGTGGTTCCAAACACGGCAAAAGATAGGTAACTATCTTATGGGTACTCTCCTGTTGATTTCGGTTAATATGAATATTGCCTGCTGGAATTGTAGGGGGGCTGGAAGCCGGCCCTTCCCTCTTATTATCAAGGATATTGTTCACAAAAATCAGATTGGGATTTTTTGTCTTATTGAGCCACGTATCAGTGGAGACAAAGCCGACAGAGTAGTTCGACAACTTGGGTTTAACAATTGGATCTGGGTTGAGGCCTCGAGCTATTCAGGGGGAATCTGGGTACTTTGGAACGAGTGGGATTTCGAGGTGAAGCTGATTGCCTCTAGTGAACAATTCATACATTGTCAGATTACTAGAATTGGTACTTCCTCTCATTTCTTCTCCACTTTTGTTTATGGTGAAACCTGCTACACCAGGAGAACTGCGTTATGGCAAGCCATTCAAGCCATCGCAGAATTCACTGAGGATCCTTGGATCTTATTGGGAGACTTTAATGCCTATCGTTCATCGGTAGACAAGATAGGTAGTGTTAACCATCATATGATCTCTATGGCAAATTTCAATGACTGTATCAGCGATGCGGGACTACTAGAAATACAAGACCCCATATCCAAATACACATGGGAAAGAAACAGAGTGCAAGAGAAAATTGACTGGGTCTTCTGTAACTTGGCATGGGAGATAGCCAATCCAGAAAGCTGTGTCACACACGATCTAAAATACAAGTCTGATCACAAATTGATCGTGATGTCTTGGAGCAATAATTTGAGGCAAGTAAAGGTGAGACGAAGATTCCACTATCAAGCTGGGTGGTGCCTGGAAGAGGGGTTTAACTCTATAGTGGAAAGGGTGTGGACTGAGACAGATTGGTGCACAGGAGTTGATCAATTCCAGACGCTAGCTACAAAATGGAATAATGATTATATTGGGAGCATCCCAAAGTGAAAGAAACAGTTATTAATGAGATTGGAGGGCATTGAGCATACTAAAAGAACCCAAGTCAACAACGGTTTAGCTCGTGTAGAAAGGAAAATATGGGAAGAGTATAATAAACTGGTACTCCAGGAAGAGCTCATTTGGTACCAAAAGTCAAGATGTCAGTGGATGTAGTGGGGAGATAAAAATACTAAATATTTCCACGCATCTACGGTAATCAAGAGGAAAAAACAGAGAATTCTAGCTCTCCAAGATGAGAATGGAGTTTGGGTAAGCAACACGTGTCAAATGCACGAAATGGCTACTCAGTTCTATAAGAGGCTATATACAAAGGATAATGCTGTCTATGCTTCCACCTCCTGGCCGAATAGATTTCAACCTCTCTCAGCCATGGATCTATAAATGCTACATAGCAAAATTGATGATACAGAGATAAAAAATGCTGCCTTTTCTATTGGTGCCTTTAAAGCACCGGGACCAAATGGACTCCAGGCACACTTTTTTCACACTCAATGGGAGAAGGTGGGGGGAGTGGTTTGCAAGCTAATTAAAGAAGCTTTCTTAGACCCGAACTCTATCAGGAAAATCAACCAAACTAATGTGGTCCTGATCCCAAAAGTTGACCAACCGACATCTATTAAGGATCTGCGGCCTATTTCACTGTGTAATGTAAGCTACAAAATCATCACAAAGTTGATTGCTAGCAGATTCCAAAGAGTTATGAGTCATTTGGTGAGTACAGAACAATGTAGTTTCATTGCCAATAGATCCAGCTATGACAATATATTATAGCCTAGGAGGCTATACATATGATGAGTAGAAAGGGTGGAAGGAAAAAATATGTTGCAGTTAAAGTGGACATGGAGAAGGCTTATGATAGGCTTGATTGGAGCTTTTTGGAAAGTACCCTACAATGCATTGGATTGGAAAAAGGCTTATTAGATGTGATTATGGCTTGCGTGAGTACTGTGGAGATGAGAATCCTGTGGAATGGAAAAGAAGGCAACACCTTTACTCCTTCAAGAGGTGTGAGACAAGGAGATCCGCTTAGTTCATATCTCTTTGTGCTATGTATGGAGCGCTTGGGCCAGCGTATCAAGACGGAATGTGAACAAAAAAGGTGGAAATCGCTGAAGATTGGAAATGATGTTTGCATCTCCCATTTGTTCTTTGCAAACGATCTCATCTTGTTTACGAAAGCCAGTACAGCCCAAATGGGGGTTATTAAAAAGGTCATGGGTGAGTTCTGCAATGAATCAGGCCATAGAATTAATTTGCAAAAACCTAAAGCTTTCTTCTCAAAAGGGATCAACTTTAACAGGGCCTCACAGTTATGTCAGAAACTGGGTGTTGGCATCACACCTGATTTGGGGAAGTATTAGGGTGTCCCTTTATTCCACAATAAAGTGACAAAGGAGATGTTTGGACATATTATTAGGAAAGTGAGATCATGGCTGTCCACTTGGAAAGGGAAATACCTAAGCATGGCAGGGAGACTACTGCTGATAAAAGCAGTTATCTCAGCCCTTCCATCCTACCAAATATAGTCAACCAAGATCCCAAGTGGTGTTTTAAAGGAGATTGAACTCAAAAGGGATCAACTTTAACAGGGCCTCACAGTTATGTCAGAAACTGGGTGTTGGCATCACACCTGATTTGGGGAAGTATTAGGGTGTCCCTTTATTCCACAATAAAGTGACAAAGGAGATGTTTGGACATATTATTAGGAAAGTGAGATCACGGCTGTCCACTTGGAAAGGGAAATACCTAAGCATGGCAGGGAGACTACTGCTGATAAAAGCAGTTATCTCAGCCCTTCCATCCT